TTTCGGTTTCTTATTCCAGAAAAAGTGTACAACCTTCTCACAAGTGTGAGAAAGCCATAATTCCTTGTCAATGCTGTTTTGTTAACTATGTTTAGATCAATTTCCAATGCAATGAGATAAATAATAGCACATTTTTTTCTGTGTATGTGTTTATGAGTATTGTTTTTAAGTGGATACTTATCAGTTGAATCAGATTCTCAGAGGGTTTTATGACTCTAAAGAAAGAAAGAGAGAGAGAGGAAGGAAGGAAGGAAAGGAAGGAAGGAAGAAAGAATGGAAGGAAGAAAGAAAGAAAGAAAAAATAGAACGAAAGAAAGAGAGAAAGAAAGAAAATTTAAAATGAACAATCAAGGTGGGGAATGAACTGATCGGGCAGCTTGCCCCTGTTTAGTGGGGTTCCTCTGTACTCGTTTCATGGGAGTTCTGAAACAAAAGTAGCTGTTATCACCTTTTCTCACTCCGCTTTGCTGAGTGATGCAGACCAGAGTTGGCTCTGTTCCTCACATTGCAGGAGATAAAGCTGCACACCAGATAACTCACGTGTCTGAGAGCATGGCTGAAAACGAAGGCAAGAAAACAGGAGAGGGAAACAGGAGTGGAAGAGGAAGGCTTGTTTGTTTTTACATTTCCTGATGCTATTAAATCTAGCTCAGTTCCTGTTGCTATTAAATCTATCCTTGGATCTAAGGGTCAGGGGGCTTGGGAGGTAGACTAGAGTTTACTCTGAAGTTCTTCTTGGAATAATTTTATTACTTTAGGAACAATATATAAATACACAAGAGTTGCTGCTTCAAAATGGCTAATTCCCAGCCTGACTAGGGACTTCCCATTTTGCTAATTAGTTCAGAATTGTGATGAGGTCTGGGGGTGTTTGAGAAGAGAAGGCTGGCTGATAACAGAAGATGAGTATCAGGTTGTAGAAGTATGAATGCAGGTACGGTGTGACAAGGTATTTCCAACTCTCTCTAGCTCTGAAGAGGTGATACTATTATAGAATAATGGGTGCAAACACTTTTAATGAAAGTGATATATCCCAGTATGAGCTGTCATGTAGTGTAGAGCTTTATGCCTTTTTTCCTTGCTGAGTTGCTGACATAAAAAGTATTCCTAATGCAATTAAAAGGTGTTCTTGAGCTCACCAAGGCAAAGGTCTGTTCTTCTGCATCTAAGAGATTGTAAGTCAACGATCTGTGAAAGTAGGTGTAGACTTGTTCTTAAATTTTTACATTCTGAAATTTTCCATTTCCTGTTTAACATCTCTAAGAGAATAACTGACCAGGGTGGTAGGGATTTTATGTGGTTGAAAGGCAGATATATAGTAACTTCTCCACTTAGAAAAGTAGTGAAAATAGCCCGCATCTCTTCAGCCTTAATGGATGTCTACAAATGTACATGCAGACATAATTCCTAATCTGTGATGTGTGGGGCGTTCTTACATTCAACAGTGTAATTGCCATGGTGGTTTGGGTAGTGGGACAGCCCTGTCTTTAAAGTTGGCATGGACTGCATACTCTCTGGCACTGTTCCAAAAACCCCTTTTGACTTAGAACAGAGCAAGGTTTGGGGGAAGATGTATGCATTTGAATTAAGATCAGGGAGAGGGTGGCTAGCAGAAGGAAGTATATAACTATTGAGATACTGGTGTGGTGTGCCGATGTTGAGGAAGGTTAGAAGGGTTTTGTTTATGGAACTTATCTGCAGGACGTGTTTTGTAATTATGTTACTTTTTTCCATAACATAATTACATTTGTAATTATGTTACAAATTTCCTTAAATTTGTGACATCATATTTGTTTTTTTATTGAAGTATAGTTGATGTACAATATTATATAAATTACAGTTGCATGATACAGTGGTTCAAAAATTTTAAAGCTTGTACTCCATTTATAGTTATTATAAAGTATTGGCTATATTCCCTGTGTCATACAATATATCCTTGTAGCCTATTTTGTACATAATAATTTGTATCTTTTAATCTCCTACCCCTATATTTCTCCTCCCCTCTTCCCTCTCCCCACTGGTAATCACTGAGTCTGCTTCTTGTTTGTTATCTTCACCAGTTTATTGTATTTTTAAGATTCCACATATAAGTGACATCATACAATATTTATCTTTGTCTGGCTTATTTCACTTAGCATAATGCCCTCCAAGTCCATCCATGTCGCAAATGGCAAAATTTCATTCTTCTTTATGGCTGAGTAGTATTCCATTGTGTGTGTGTGTGTGTGTGTGTATACACCACATATGTATTTATACATATATATGTATATATGTATGTATGTATATATATATATATATATATATATGCCACATCTTCTTTATCCATTCATCTGTTGATGGACACTTACGTTGCTTCCATATCTTGGCAATTGTGAATAATGCTTCTGTGAACATTGGGGTGCATGTATCTTTTCAAATTAGTGCTTTTATTTTTTTCAGATATATACTCAGGAGTGGGATTCCTGGGTCATATGGTAATTCTATTTTTGGTTTTTTGAGAAACCTCCATACTGCTTTCCATAGTGGCTGCACCAATTTACATTCCCACCAACAGTGTCAGAGGGCTCCCTTTTCTCCACATCCTCGCCAACATTTGCTATTTGTGGTCTTTTTGATGATGGCTGTTCTGACAGGTTCGAGGTGATATCTCATTGTGGTTTTGATTTGCATTTCCCTGATAGTTAGCAATGTTGAGCATCTTTTCAGGTGCCTGTTTGCCATCTGCATGTCCTCTTTGGAAAAATGTCTATTCAGGTCTTCTGCCCAGTTTTTAATCAGTTTGCTTGTTTTTTTGATGTTGAGTTGTATGAGCTGTTTGTGTGTTTTGGATATTAACCCCTTATAAGTCATATCATTTGCCAATATTTTCTCCCATTCAGTAGGTGTATGACATCATATTTGGATATACCTGAAAACATGAGGTTTTAGAGCTAAGATGGGCTTTAAGAATAGACCTTCTCAAATGTCTTATGCTAGTTACCTCTTATTTTCTACTTGAAGTACCTCTAGAGACTAGCCTGTTTTAGGTTAGATGTTGGTGTTAGAACTTGGACTGAGTCAGATCTGACTTCCAGACGAGGACCGTTTTTCAGTATACCACGTTGCTTCAAATTAAAGGAGAAAAAGAGAATACAAGGACAAATAGGTTTTTGTTCCTTTTATTAATGCAGAATAGTAAAATAATAGTATTCTTTTTATTCCTTTTTTGTGTAGCAAACATGCACGTATTGGTAAGTGGAGATACTTTTTAGTAAAAAATTTTATTTTATTTTAGGTAAATAAAATAGGGATATTAATGCTCTTTGAAAGCTAAAGAAAACAGACAAAAATTTATTTACAGAAATTTCAAGCTCTTAACCTATCTTAGGTTGCACCAACATTGAATCTATTTTTTCCTAGTTCAATGTAGATAAAACAGTAGGTACTCAATATATGTTTGTTTAATGAATGAATAAATTGAAACAAACACTCGTTTGCGAACTAGTAAATGCCAGGCCTGCTGAATATCGTCTGACCCTCAAGATTCAACTCCTTTCCCGCCTTTCTTCAAAAGCCTCTGAAATACTTCAATAAAAAGCCCTTTTCTTTTTACTATATCTGTGCAATAGACATTATTTGCTTATTTTTCATATCTAGCAATTTTTTTACAACTGTTTACTTACATACATAAGCAGCTGCTATATTTTGCATGTTCCAGACTCCCCTAGGAGTCTGCACTTATTAGCAAATTGATAATTTTTGAAATAATAATAATTTTATCTACTTTAAGGTCAATTTACAAGTGTCAAGTATATTAGGACTAATTTAAATCTTTATTTTTAGGTAAATTGAGCTCCAAGTATTTAGACAGAACCATACAAATTAATGAGAATTTTATATGATAAACCTAATACTTTATTGTTTACTGAAGACAGTATGTGATATAGAAACAGAAAACTAGGGGCCAAGACACAATAGTGAAAATGTGGGAAAAATCAGGAAGTATCAGAGGACTGCTGACAATTATTTCTCACTTTCATATTAGTGTTTTAGCAGATCTTATTCTAGTTGGTTGAAAAGGTTCATGTTCAATTACATTAAACCATCTTGAAATACAAAGAAAAAAAAGGCCACACGCAGTTTGGAGACGAGAAGATTTGGAGGAGGGAGTTAGCTTCTGTACTGGATTTTCAAATATTTGAAAATATTTCGTTTGGAAGTGGGTTTCCATTGGGTCCATGTGGCCTCACTGGGAACTACTTGATGGAAGTTTTAAGGGAGTAGAAATCTATTTTAATGAGGAAAACAGTTTAATAATTAGCAGATTAGATGTTGTTTTTTGGGGGATAAGTGAGCTCTTCACTTTGAATATATTTCATCAGAAAGTCATTGACAATTTGTGGGGAGAGGATAGGATAAGAATAGATTTGTATGTTGCGAAGGAGACTGAACTAGTGAATTCTAAATTTTTATAATTCTAAGAAATTCTGACTCTCGTCTTGACATCTAATTGACCTTTGGTATGACTTCTTGCTGCCATTTTGAATAACAAATAAAAAAGATGATCTGCAGTTTATTACTGGTTAAGTGTTTCAAATACTACGTTACCCCACAAATACAATGGATCTTTGTATTTTCCTTTATTATGTAATTTGTAGTACTTCTAGCATCTGCTTTTACAGGTCATAGATTAAGAAGAATCTATGAAAATACAGTGTTCATTTTTTAAAGGATCATGTCATTATAGCAGCACGCCTGGGAAAGTAGTTCCTGGGATGTGTAAAATTTATATTGGGTTGTAAAACTGAAGTATGGGCCAAGGGTTAACAACCTTGAATTTTGCCCTTAAAAATTAGTCTCAGAAAATCTCCTTCATTATAAATACATTACTACTGAGTAGTGTCCTTCTGATTGATATGCCCAGAGCTACCTTTTTCAGCAGTCTTTTAAGCACCAATCCTTCATTTTGGTTCTAAAAATGAAATGGGCTCCTCCTCCCTAGTTGGGACATCAATTTTTACCTGCCAGTATAGTTTGATGAGCTTGCTTATAGACTGTTCACTTCCTCCACAGAGCCAGAACATGTAGTCAGCAATCATGGCACTCCTAAGAACAAGGACAGATTTTTTAAAAAACAAATTTATAGGACAGAAGGAAGACTATAACAGGCAGTATATATAAATACTGAAGAAGAAGATTTTGTAACGTATAAATGTGACTAGACTACTATTAAGCAAAGCATAAGGCACATTTTAGAATGTAGAAAGTAGGTCTTTTTTTTTGGTACCAAAACTAAAACTGTAAGAGAAGCAACACACCATTTGTCTTCTACATTGCTTTTCTGTTTGTACAGTATAAGAATATTTAAAGACTATGAGAGAATGCTTTGTGTTTTGGTTACCTCTTATTAAGCTTCAAAGCATTTATAGAGTAACATATATTTTATAGGCTCTAGAACACCTTCAAACCTAGCGCAGCATATATAGCTAACTATTATACTGGTACTAAAGCATATCTCGGACTTTACCTAAGTTGAAGATTATTCACCTCTGATTAAAGTAGTCTCCTTAAAATTGAAAATAAAAAATTTCCAATTCAACAAACACTCCCCTCCCCGGCCTTTGTGTTTAATTGAATTAGTTTTGGAATGTAGTGTGTACGACCACTGCATTAGTCTTACTAAGCTGAGGGCATATTAAAAACTACTGTGCAATGGATATTAATTCATTGCTTAGCACCCTTTGGAAAAACAGTTTACTTTTATGGCTGTTTCTCTGCTAGGGCTTTCTTTTCTCCAGAGATTCCAAATCCAATTAAATGTGACTGGAAGTAATTCCAAATTGTCACGTTGGCCAATTAGACATATAATAATCCTGTGTACCTAATCACTAGTACCAAAAGTTTATTTATTTAAGCAGACCTATCACTGTGTACCCTGAATGTTTTTCTTATCTTTGCCTGCAGATACGTGTTGTTTCCTGACATAATTGTAAATTGAATTAGAAATTTTCCTTCCCTAAATATATATGTTGTCTAAGGCAGAGCAGCTATAAACTTACTATGGTACTCTGCTGAAGAATTAGAATGTTTAGATTCTCGCTCAGGACAGACAAAAATTAGGACTCTAAAGGTTAACAATGGGAAAAAATACCACCATTTGAAGGATTGCGCAGCTCAGCATTTCTCTTTTTACACATGTGGTATTGGAAAGAAGCTATCCATTGACATTTCAAAATAACTGGCAATAATTTAAGAATAACTAATCTTTCAGAAATCCTTTTATATTTTTCAAAGCCCTAGTTTAATGATAAGATAAAGCGAGCTAGGAGGTTTTCATATTGCATGAACATGTACAGGGTAGAAAACAAGTTATAAAACTCAGACTAGAGAGGGGCAAAGTAAATTTCAAATATTTGCATTTTGATTGAAACACTTGTAAAAATTTTCTTCCCCTGACAACCTAAAAAGGAAGTCTACTTGACATGTAGATGCCTCTCACCTAATAGAAATCTATTTTATAAATTGGATTTATAAGAAATCAAGGAAGAATGTAAAGTCTCACTGCCAAGGCCAGCGCACACTGTATTCATACAAGTTGGGTCCTCTGACGTGATGACCTGATTCTGCACTCTGATTCCTCCTTCCCTCAGCATTTGGATGTGTAAATATGGCTCAAGCAAACATTGCTTAATGAGGACACTGCTATTAGTTAAACCAGGGGTGAGCAACCTCTTTCTGTAAAGGGCCAGATAGTAAATATTTCAGGCTTTGTGGGCCATGACTACTCACCTTTGCCTTTCAGAAGCAGCTGTAGACAATAAGTTAAAAAATAAGGGTGATTGTGTTCTATTAAAACTTTATTTACTAAACATATGTGCTGGGTCAGATTTGGCATGGTTTGCCTAACTCTAAGATAAACAAATTACTAGGTTGAGCAACAGGTGGCAAGCATTGATGTAATTGTCAGTCAGTAGTCAGAGACCAGCTTCTATACATTCTGGTCACAGGCCTCCTTAAATATTTCAGGGACAACATACATATTGTACTAAAATTACTGAGCAGAGTTCAGGAAAGAAACTTTACAATTTTGAAACATGCAAAAACTGTTAAAGATAACCCTGGATCATAGACACAGTATCCTGAGTTAAGCAAAATCTGAATCGATTGTTTCTATTATATTAGTTATTGCCATCCTTGGATTGGAACAACTGTGAGAGATGAGGAGGTAGGTCACGACAGTGGGCTTCTAGGGCTTTCCTGCATTTGTAAAGCTTTTGGTGAGTTGGTTTTGAGTTCACCATTGTAAACTTAGGAGTTTTAACATTTTTATTAATGTTTTCCAAAAGTTGCTTTTTCTATTATAATGTGTTGTCAAATTGCTACTTTCTTTTTCTTTAAATTTTATTTATTTGCATGATTTTAAAAAAAATTATTTATTTATTTTTTGTCTGCGTTGGGTCTTCATTGCGGCTTTCTCTAGTTGCGGGGAGCGAGGGCTACTCTTCTCGTTGCGGTGCGCGGGCTTCTCATTGCGGTGGCTTCTCTTGTTGCGGAGCATGGGCTCTAGGCGTGTGGGCTTCAGTAGCTGTAGCTTGCAGGCTCTAGAGCGCAGGCTCAGTAGTTGTGGCGCACGGGCTTAGTTGCTCCGCGGCATGTGGGATCTTCCTGGACCAGGGATTGAAACTGTGTCCCCTGCATTGGCAGATGGGTTCTTAATCACTGCGCCATCAGGGAAGTCCACCAAACTGCTACTTTCTGAAGTATGATTTTATGCCACCTGGGGGCTCAAGTCTTTTCCCCAAGGAACACATCTCCAAATTTATATTGAAATAAGTGAGGAATTAAGATTCATTGAAATTTGCTACCTGCCCTCAGTGAAGCACAATTATTATAATCATAAAAAGATACCTGTATTAAATAACAAAATATGGTTTCATAGAGCTGCGTGTCTGCTGGGATATTTTTCATAAGTATAGTGTATTTCTTCCAGTACCTGGCACAGAGCTGTGTTCGTATTAGGAACACAATTTAATATGTTGTTTCTCCAACCCCATTTTATTCCCAGTGGAAATGGCAGTTATACTTTTACCACCCACCTTCCTTTGTCTGGTTCCTTACCATGGTTCTGTCCTACAGCTTAGCATTTATGTATCAGTGTTAAAATCAGTGGAAAAACAGGAAAAGGGCATGGAAATAACATTACGTATACCATGTAGTATTTGTGAGGCAAGAGTAGCGGTTTTTCATCATGCTGAGTTTTGAAAGGGCAAAGATAATTAATTAACCCAGAGTATCTACAAGGAGTCAAGTACCTGTGGGATCCTGGTTTTGGCTAACTCACCTCATGAGTCAAAAGGAAACAGTAACCCATCACTCTTCCTACTTTTCTTCAGGTATCTTTGTTTACCTTTAGACCAATATCCTAGATGCTAGTCAGTGTGATTCACTGTTGCTTCTAAATGTCCTCCTGTCATCATCTTTATTCTGTTCAGCTTACTTTCATTAATCTACTGAATGTTGTAGCTGCACTGGAACGGTAAGATCACATTAGCCAACGCTTTTTTTTTTTTAACATCTTTATTGGAGAAAAATTGCTTTACAATGGTGTGTTAGTTTCTGCTGTACAACAAAGTGAATCAGCTATAACATATACATATATCCCCATATCCCCTCCCTCTTGCGTCTCCCTCCCACCCTCCCTATCCCACCCCTCTAGGTGGTCACAGAGCACGGAGCTGATCTCCCTGCGCTATGCGGCTGCTTCCCACTAGCTATCTATTTTACATTTGGTAGTATATATATGTCAATGCCACTCTCTCACTTCGTCCCAGCTTACCCTTCCCCCTCCCCGTGTCCTCAAGTCCATTCCCTGTGTCTGCATCTTTATTCCTGTCCTGCCCCTAGGTTCTTCAGAACCAATTATTTTTTTTTTTAGATTCCATATATATGTGTTAGCATATGGTATTTGTTTTTCTCTTTCTGACTTACTTCACTCTGTATGACAGACTCTAGTAGTTTAATATCTGTGGGTTTTGAGATTTACTAAGTGCTGAGTGAGTACCATGATAAGCCCTTTACATGCAGAATGTGAATCCAGCCCACCCACAGTTCTGCACCAGATCTCATCCTGTCTTGCCCACCCATGGAAACTGCTCCAGCAATTCTCTTTCTCTTTCTCTCTTTCCCTCTTGCTCTGTCTTCAAATTTCTCCTTTTTTCCTGGGGCTTTTCTACTAACACACAAAAATGCTGTTCTTTCTACCACCTTAAAACAAAACAAGATAGCCCCCAAACCTCTCTTGATTCACTTCCCTTCCAGTTAACTTAATTCTTTCTCTTAAAGAAAACCCAATCAAACAAAAGAACAAAAACTCCTCTCAAAAAAACTCACTCCAACAAGGCTCTTATGCCTCCCACTTCACTGAAACTGCTCTTGTCAATGCTACTAATGGTCTCCACACTCCTAAACACAGTGGCTCAATTCTCAGCCTTCATTTTACACATACTCTCAGGTGTAACTGATGCGATTGCTCTCTCTTCCAGTACCTACTTCCCACTGGGCTTCCACAACTCTGCTCTTTATGATTTCCCTCCGATCTTACTGGTTGCTCTTTTCAGTCTCCTTTGCTGTTGTCTCCTTTTCTCTCTGGACTCCTAAACTAGGAGCTCCCCAGGGCCCAATGCTTGGACCCATTCTCTTTCTTTCTGTACTTAATCACTTGGTGATCTCACCAGTTTCATGGTTTTAGACACCATCCATTGGTTGACAACTCGCACATTTATACCCTGAGTTTAATCCTCTTCTTGGATCTGCAGACTCTTACAAAAGCTGCCTTTTCAACATCTCTACTTGGATATGTAATAGGTATTTCAAACTTATTTCCATACCTGGGACCCTAATCTTCCTTTTTTCCTCTTCCCCAAGCTCTAGTAGTCTTCTCCATCTATCCAGTTTCTCAGGCAAAAAATTTTGGAGTCATCATTGATTCCCTTCTTTCTCTCACATTTCCCATCCAATCCGAGACAAAATTCTGGTCAGGTTATCTTTGACCTATTTCAGAATCCTGCCTCTTCTCACCACCTCCAGCATTACCATCTGGTCCATCA